ACCTGAGGTTAGGAGTTCCAGACGAGCCTGGCCAACATGGTGAAACCCCATCTTTACTACAAATACAAAACTAGCTGGGCGTGGTGCTACATGCCTGTAGTCTCAGCTACTAAGAAGGCTGAGGCAAGAGAATTGCTTGAACCCAGGAAGCGGAGGTTGCAGTGAGCCAAGATCTTGCCACTGCACTCCAGTCTGAGCAACAGAGCGAGACCTTGTCTCAAAAATAAACAAACAAACAGAAAGATCCTTTTATAAAGTACATAGACCAAGGCAACAAGATTGGAGGCATTTCCCAGCCCAGGACAGGCCCATGAGAAACAAGGATGGGTCTGGTCACCTGTCACCAGTCACTGGCCCCCTTCAGATCATCAAGCTGGGTGCTGTGGTGAGGGAGAAGGAAGGGGACAGGATTGTCCAAAGGCACCTAGAGCTCAGAAGGTACCTGGCGAGAGGCTGGTCCTGAGTTTCTGACAGTGATGACGATAATGATGATGGCGATAATCACTGTTTCTTAAGCGTTAGCCAACATCAGTAAGCACCAAGCACTTTATGTGTGATTGATCAGGGAGGTGTTCCAACAGCCCCTTTGACTGATGAGGAAACTGAGGCTCAGAGCAGCAAAGTCACTTGCCTGAGTTCCCACAGCAGGGCTGGAATCTGCACTCTGGTCTGGCTGCCTCTGGAGTCCAAGCTTTTGCCTGCTGCTACGACCCCTTCTGGCTCTGAGCTTTCTGAAATCTATTTTTTTCTTTTTTTGAGATGGAGTTTCATTCTGTTGCCAGGCTGGAATGCAATGGCCCAATCTTGGCTCACTGCAACCTCCACCTCCTGGGTTCAAGCAAGTCTCCTGCCTCAGTCTCCAGAGTAGCTGGGACTACAGGCGCATGCCGCCTCCATGCCCGGCTAATTTTTTCTATTTTTAGTAGAGACAGAGTTTCACCTTGTTCCCCAGCCTGGTCTTGAACTCCTGAGCTCTGGCGATACACCTGCCTTGGCCTCCCAAAGTGCCGGAATTACAGGCGTGAGCCACCATGCCTGGCCCTGAAGTCTTGACAGTGTGTGCTAGGGGAGGGGCAGGCAGGGAGGGCATGGGACTGCCTGGCAGGCAGGGAGGGCATGGGACTGCCTGGCAAGCAGGGAGGGTATGGGACTGCCTGGCAAGCAGGGAGCAAGCAGAGAACCTCCCCAGGCCCAGCAGGACTCTTCCTAGGCTGCAGCTCCCATTTCCCAAGCTCCCAAGTCAGCCTCTTCAGGGCCAAGTGGAACCCAATCCCAACTGCAAGCTTGGAAGCCTTGCTTCCAGCCCAGAGACTGCCGCTGGGGGTTGGCTCAGTGCCCTGGGGCCAGAGCAGGTGGGCCAGGTTAGGCAGGGCTCCCTCACCCTAGGCACTGCGGTGATGGCAGCCATCTGCAGGGCATGTGCTCCATGGCACCCACCATGCCAAATGCTTTACCAGCAACCTTCAGAGCCCTGCCACAGATCTATAGTCCCCTTGAACAGATAGGGAAACAGGCTCAGAGGCAGGAACTGACTTGAACAGGTACATACAGCAAGTAAGGCTCAGAGCAGGGTACGTGGACAAAGGCTGGTCTGACCCCAGAGCCTGTGCTCCAGGGTCAAAGGGTGCCCCAGACCCCCGAAAGACGAAAGACACTTGGAACCCTACAGCATGTGCTCAGCAGGTGGTGTGCTTTCCCGGGGCAGAGGACCGTCCCTCCCGGCAGGTCAGGCCAGAGCTTCGGAATGAGAGCCTGCCTTGGCCATTTGCTGCGGTTTTCTCCCACCAAGCTGAGGGCTGGGCTGGCATCCCCACGGAATGACCTCGGGGTCCCCAGCCCCACTCGGCCTGCTCTGTGGCCAGTGCTGAGTGGCTGCCTGGTGCCAGACCCTATGCCCCATGGTCTCAGTACCTGGATATGAAGACAGCCAATCTCCTCCCAGATCATTCCCCTCCTCAAAGCACGAACGCTCCACGAGTGCAGCGAACATGGGTGACATGCCCGACCCATGGGCCCATGGTGAGCAGCAGAGTGGGGGTGGTTTTGCAGTCATAAGGCCTTGGATTTACTTCCTAAACCTACCACTTATAGCCGTGTGGTGGGCAAGTTGCTTGAGCTTTCTGAGCCTCAGTTTACTCATCTGTAAAATGGGCATATTAATGTCTACTTTGAAAGGTCATCAAGACCTTTTTTACATCATAAAATACAGGGCATTCATGCCATTGTCTTTGGTACATAATGAAGCCAATAAATGATGTTTTTAAAGATGGTTAAAAATGTCTGTCATTTCCATTCAAGGAGGAAGGCATCTCAAATCTTCATCTTTATCCTGTGGGGCAAACACCTTTGTACCCATGGCAGCTGGCTGCTGGAATAAGCCCAAAGCCTTATCTTAACAAGTGGGCTGCACACTTTTCAATGTTTGGGGCAGGGGAAATGTTCTTAAAAGCAAACATTCCTTTGGGAGGCTGAGGTGGCTGGATCACCTGAGGTCAGGAGTTCAAGACCAGCCTGACCAAGATGGAAAAACCCCATCTCTACTAAAAATACAAAATTACCCAGGCGTGGTGGCACATGCCAGTAATCCCAGCTACTGAGGAGGCTGAGGCCAGAGAATCACTTGAAGCCAGGAGGCAGAGGTTGCAGTGAGCTGAGATCGTGCCATTGCACTCCAGCCTGGGCAACAAGAGCGAAACTCCATCTCAAAAAATAAAAAAAGATCAAAGCAGAGCCATTTTACTTGGTGATGAGGGGCAGCTTGCTTGCATACCTCCTACCATGGGGAGCTCACTCCCTTACTGGAGTATCCACTGACTGTGGCTAAGTTGAGATGCATCCCCTTTCTTCTTTGATCCTCCCCCTGCCTGAAGCTTCACACAGCCTGAGCTGGTTCCCTTTCTCTCCTCTGAAAATGCAAAGCAAGACTAGAGTTGCTCCCAGGTCTACTCCTGGCTCCATCACTGACTAGCTGCATGACCTTGGGATCATCGTCACCCCGTGCCTCAGTTTCCCCCTCTTTACATGGGGAATAATAATAGCACCAAGCTCCATGGGTTATGGTGGAGATCAGAAGTAATGACATGGTTTAGGCAAAGCCCTGGCACACAGCAGGCACCAACCAGTGACTTCATCACCTCCCTCACCACATGGGGAAGGAAGGAGGGAAGGAGGAGATGGGGTTGAGGGAGCAGGATTGAGAGAGAGACTCGGGGCTCCACCTTCCCACCCCATCCTCTGACAGCAGGCAACCTAACTCCCAGCACACTCTTCCTGAGCCCTGGCCCTGCGTGAAACTGTGGATAATGAGAGCAGGTTCTGCCCCTGGAAGCGCCTGGCCTAGTGCCTCAGCCACTTTGCTCTGTCCCTCCCTCCCATGCCTGTGGCACCTGGAAGAGCAGAGTGTGTCAGCTGGAGCCGGTGCAAATCTCAAGCCCTGAGGCTTGACCAGATTAGGAACCTCAGTTTCCTAATCTGTAAAATGGGCATGATGACGGCACCACCCTTGTGAGACTGTTTACTCATGAGTAAATCATAAGTAATTGCAATGTAAATAATTTAGTAACAAGAACAAGAAAACCAGTCAGGCACGGTGGCTCATACCCGTAATCCTAGCACTTTGGGAGGCCAAGGGAGGTGGATCACCTGAGGGCAGGAGTTCGAGAGCAGCATGGCCAACATGGTGAAACCCCATCTCTACTAAAAATACAAAAATTAGCGGGGAGTGGTGGTGGGCACCTGTAATCCCAGCTACTTGGGAGGCTGAGGTAGGAGAATCACTTGAAACTAGGAGGTGGAGGTTGTAGTGAGCTGAGATCACGCCACCACACTCCAGCCTGGGCAACAGAGCGAGACTCTGTCTCAAAACAAACACACACACACAAAACTAGAACAAGAAAACTTCGAAGGTGGCAGACCCGACCATCTCCTCCATGAAGTATCCAATGGTTTCTGCTTCCCGAGGCTCACCCACAGAGCGTGGAGCCTCCAGTCTGAGACTACAGTGGTGAGATGTGTGTTTTTATTGCAGCTTCCTCTGGAGCACGAGTTCTCCGTGGTCCAACCCAATGCCCCTTTGGAACTGAGACCCCTTGTTCATGTTTGCCTTGCCTGAGACCCCCACCTCACATGTCCCCCAAATGATGGCCACACTAGGAAAGACAAGGAAATCGACTCGGGCCTAGCATGGAGGTGGAAGCAGAGGTTCCTGGGGCACCTTGGGGACCTGGTGGTGCCCGGAGGGTGGGCCAGACAGGGGCTGGGCGTCACCTCTGGGTGGAGGGAACGGCTTGCCTCCACATGGGTCCCACGTGGCACCTGGCACAGGGCAGTGCTAATCTGCAAGATGTTGGTGGCAAAGACTTTGGAAACAAACAAACCAACAACTGGGCCCCCGACCCCTTCTCCAGTGACTACCCCTGGGAAGGAGCAGGGAAGGACTCCAGGAGGCTGTGAGTGGGTGGCAGTCCCAGCTGGACTCCTTGAGTCCCCAGACCCTGCTGGAGAAACCTGGGCAGCTTGCCGGGTTCCTGAACCAGGAGGGGAGGCACTTACGGGGCAGCTCACTGGGCCCTGCCTGGGAGCAGTCAAGGAATGGGGACCCCAGCTGCAGGGCAGGAGTCAGACAGCGACGCCCCATTCCAGGATGCCCACCAGTGCCCTGACCGTCTCCTGTGAGGGCACTGCCTCTGGCCCAGCCTCTCTTCAAGCCGCCTCTGGGCAGTGGTGCACTTTACTGAGCAGACCCTTCTCATGGGGCCCCACTCGCCTCTGCCTTCTTTCGGCCCCCCACGTGGCAGGGGGGCCTCGCCTGTGCATCTCTGGCACTGGCTCCCCCACCCTGGAGCCTGCCCGTTTCTGGGGCACCCTTCCTGCCTAACCTCATTAGACCTGTCCCAGCCGGTTTCTGAGGGCCGTGCTGGTCCTGGCCAGGGCGGGGCTGGGCGGGCCGGGCTCCCTCTCGAGGGCCCAGACAGTGGGTAGCAGGGGGCGGGCACACTCACCCAGGAGCAGGTTCATGAGCACCTCCTGGCCGGCCAGCGTGCTGCTCTTCACCAGACAGAGGATGGTGCCCCCGATCCAGGGGATGCCGTGGCCCGTGATGCCGATGAGCTTGACCATGGAGCGGGCACTGGCCCAGGACGCCGCCCGGCCGGCGCACACCCCGAGCCGCTTGGACATGCAGATGTCGATGGCCAGCAGGGAGTTGAAGGCGATGCCCTTGAAGGAGGGGTTCAGCTGCATGCAGTCTTCCTCGGGCAGCTGCTGGGACTGACGCCGCTCTCGGGCTCCGTCGCCAGCAGGCGGGGGCTGTGCCGAGGGGCCCGAGGCCTTCCTGGCTGAGCTTCGGGGCTCCGGAGCCCCCTTGGGGGGCTGGTTCAGGGACAGGAACTCAGCCCGGTTGAGGACGTTGTTGCGGTCTCGGGCGCGGGCCCGGCTCTGGGAAGCTGGCATGGTGACCTCGCTCACTCTGAGAGGCCCGATGCCAGCCGGGCTCCAAGGGCCTTCTCCCCGAAGACAGGAGCTGCCCCCACAGCCGCCACCGTGGCTGCCTCCCTGCCTTCTCCGCGGCAACTGTTAAATATAGGGTGGAGGGTTGCACATGGCTGTTTACCTCCGCTGCCACCCGGCTCCAAGGGGACGTCAGTGCCAGCCGGGCAACCAATCCAGCCCTCCAGTGCGGGGCCTGCACCAGCAGAGCGGACTGGGAGGCCAGGAGTCCCACAGCTGCGGCCTGGTTGCCTTGGGCCTGGGCTATTTAAATCGCCCAATGGCTCATCCCTGGGCTTGGGGAACTCTGGGAAATGTAGTCCTCCTGCTGCTCTGGACTCGGCCGTGTCCTTGGCCTCTGGCAGAGGCAGAGGTGGGACCCTGGACTTACCCTGCTTTTACCGGCTTCCCTCTGAGCCGTCCAGACGCCTACAAGCCAGCTCTGCCTGCCTCAGCGGTCTGGCAGATTGAATCTGGTCCTTTAAACGGGATGGTGTAGCTCAGGCAGAGGCCTGTTGGGCCATCAAATGGAGTGACCCACGTCAGCGACAGCATCATCTTGGGTCCCTGGGGCCAGGCCCAGCTCCTCCCTCTTTTTTATTTATTTATTTTTTAATCAGTCTTGAATTCAGCTTCAGCGCATCACAGTCCAATCAAATGACAATCCATGAGCTTTGATTTCCATCGGGGGAGGGGTAAGGAGTCGGTTGGTAATGGATCTGCTCTTGGAGGCTGCCTCCACTCCCTGGAATTTTGAGAAGGACAGGAGTGTGACAGCAGCTTCGGGCAAACTGTAGGTAGTTCCCGAGCACCTGGCACACTGCAGGAAGCTCTCAGTTCAGTGGGATGGAAGGAATGGCACATGTAAGTGATCACAAGTGCTTAAATGTGTGGCAGGCTCCCAGTAGCGGGGCTCCAGGTCTGGTCTGGGAGTCATGGACAGGCTCCCCAGGAAGGAAGAACAGAGAGGGAGGCCCAGCCGGGCAGAGCCTGCCTTGCAGGAGGCCCGGGAGGGTCGTGGGGCTGCATGGGGTCCAAGGGGTGAGAGGCTGCAAATCCAGAACGCAGACAAAGAGGACTCGGCCAAGCATTTGGGATGTGAGCAGGCATTCACCTGGGCCACTTGTGGGAGCCCAAAGTCTCTGCAGCCCTTTTAGGGCTGACTGGGTCTGGGCTCGATGGGGAAAGCTGTGCATTTAAGCTGACCAGAAGAGTCATAAGCCAGCTCCTCCATCTCCTGATTCTGGGTGATCAAGGCCTGTCTGCCCAGCCCAGATGAAGGCAGGAGGCTGCAACTTCTCTTCCAACCACGGAGGCTGCCCACGGTGCCTCAGGTCCTCCTAGAGCCTCCCAAGAACAGGAAGCTGCCCGGGGAGGGAGTGGGTGTTCCCTGGCCACGGGGGATGGGCACGCAGGCTCTGGAGTCAGAAAGGTGGGGCTCTGCCCCGCCATCAACCAACTGGGAGAACTTGAGCAAGTCACTTGGCCTCCCTGGGCCTTGGTGTTTCTACCTGTCATAGGGAAATGACAGTGTCCACCTCTTAGGGCTCTCGTGAGTCTCAGTGAGACAGTGTCTGGGAAACACTGAGCTGGCTCCCTGCGGCAGAGTGAGTTAGGAATTGATTTCAACCCCGTGGGTTAGGAATGGATTTCATTTGGCAAATGAGGTGCAGCCCTCTCTCCCTTTTGAGTGCCCTCTTCGGCAGGGCCCAACCCTGTGGTCTGGCCTCCATCCCATTCCTGGCAGGGGTGAGGCCAAAGTCCAGGAGCCCTCAGCCTGGGGTTCCCTGCAGACACGCTGGCTGGGCCCGGCTGCGCTGGAGCTGGCTAGGCCTGCCTCATTTCTTCTCTCCCCGCTTGGGCGAGCTCCACTCAGACTGCGAGGCCAGAGGGGGATGTCACGGCTGCATGATGTCCTGCCCTCTTGGGTGCAGCAATGATGACATGTGCTGCCTCATCCCGGACTCTAGACGCCTGGAAACAGATGCGCGTGGAAGTGTGCACACCCGGCATGGACGCTGAACGTGTACAAGCTCTCTGTGTGCTCAGCTTAACAACACCTAACGGCAGTCCTGTAACGCAGCTGCGACGTCGTCCGCATTTACAGATGTGGAAGCCGAGGCTGAGGGGGTGAAGGCCTCCAGCCAGGAAGCTGAAAAGAGAAGGGGTCTGGCTCCTAAGTTGTCCCTATGGGAGGTGGCACAAGGGTTCCTGGACCACAGGGACCTGATCTCTTCTCTCCACCAAGCACTAACCCCACTGTCCCTGGGTGGCCTGGGGGAGGGGGGCACAGGAGCCTGGCCCAGACAGGGGCTGTTAATACCCAGAGGCTGTGTCAGCATTTCACCTGGCTTGAGTTGCTGGCAGGTTCTGAGAGCCACACTGGGCCTCGCCCTGGTGGGGCCATGGGGTCCAATGTGGCTCCTGCCTAGCAGTCGTTAAGACATAAAGTCTGCGATAGGACAGCCCCAGGTTCAAACCCTAGCTCAGCCACCTCCAGTTGAGTGACCCCAGGCAAGTTCTTCAGCCTTTCCAAGCCCATTTTCGCCTTTGAGGGCTGGCAAGAAGATTGTGTAAAGGGTTCTTTCTGTCCATGATAGTTTTGGTGACTTCCCCCAGAACTATGAGACGTGCTCCTCTCCTTCCTATGGGTGGGGAGGGGTGACTTTCTTCACATTCTCAGGTAGCTGAGAAGCAAGCAAGCTGAACCACCCACTGTAGCACCCAGACAAAGAAAGGAACGATGGGACCACAGACACTCCTGGTTGCCTCAACCTACAAGCCTTTATTTTAATTTTGTTTTTTTAGATGTGAGGTCTTACTGTATTGCCCAGCTGCTCTTGAACCCCTGGGCTCAAGTGTTCTTCTTGCCTCCTCCTCCCAAAGTGTTAGGATTACAAGGATGAGCCGCAGTGCCTGGCTTCCACAAAGCTTTATAAGCACCCACCATGGCCCACACCGTCTCACTTCCCAAGAGACTGAGAATTCATCCATCCATCCATCCATCCATCCATCCATTCATCCATTCATTCATTTATTCGATGTTGTTACGGATCTTTTCCCATCGTTGATCTTGCAGTCTAGTTGGGCATACAGGATACAGGACACGTATTCACAAAATAATTAGCCAATTTATTAAACAGTATAATTTTTTACCAGTAGCCTTATTTTTTCTTACTATCCAAGTGTTACATACTGTAATAAATTCCACACACACAATTGATACAGGTCTCATTCTCCCACCCAGTGTTAACATGAGGGTGGTCAGGATATAAAGGGGTTCTCACTTGTCTCACTTCCAATTACTAAAATATTTTGCATCAACCAGGCATTACTTTAATAATTAGAAAATAATATATACTAAATAAATTATATCTCTATCGTATATAATATACACAAAATATGCATTTTATTATTATCATTGTTAGTTTTTGAGATGGGATCTCACTCTCTTACCCAGGTTGGAGTGTAGTGACGTGATCTTGGCTCACTGCCATCTCTGCCTCCTGGTTTCAAGTGAGTCTCATGCCTCAGCCTCCCATATAGCTGGGACTATAGGCACGCACCGCCATGCCCAGCTAGCTTTTGTATTTTTTGGTAGAGATGGGGTTTCAATCCACGTTGGCCAGGCTGATCTTGAACTCCTGACTTCAAGTGGTCTGCCTGCCTCGTGCTGGGATTACAGATGTAAGTCATTGTGCCTTGCCCAAAATATACATTTAAAACGTATGATGACATTATACATTCTTCTGAAAAACAACCTCCCCTTTTCACTTCACAATATAAATCTGGCCATGTCTCCATGACGCCCTATTATTTTTTAAAAGGCTGCCTGACATATTGTCACATGGATGGGTCAGAATTTATGTAACTAGCCCCCATTAGTGGATATTTTGTTGTTTCTATTGTGTAACGATTCAAAAACTACTCTAGGATGGCCATCCTTCTGCATATATCCCTGTGCACTAAAGGAAGATAGAAACAAGTGGTCAAGGCCAGGCGCAGTGGCTCTGCCTATAATCCTGGTGCTTTGGGAGGCCGTGGTGGGCAGATCACCTGAGGTCAGGAGTTTGAGACCAGCCTGGCCAATGTGGTGAAACCCCGTCTCTACTAAAAATACAAAAATTAGCCAGGTGTGGTGGCACATGCCTGTAACCCCAGCTACTCGGGAGGCTGAGGCAGGAGAATCACTTGAACCCTGGAGACGGAGGTTGCAGTGAGCCAAGATCGTGCTATTGCACTCCAACCTGGGTGACAAGAGCGAAACTCTGTCTCAACCCCCGCCTACCCCCAAAAAAGAAAAAAAGAAACAAGTAGTCAAGGTGGGATGGCTGAGACCATGCTGGGAGGGATCCCCATGGGATCTGGTGGGCTCACACAAACCACCTACTGTAGCGCCCAGACATGGGAAGGCAGGATGGGGCCACAGGCACTCCTGGTTGACAAGGCAAGTGCAACCACCCTCTTCCCACATTAGAGCTGCAGGTGCAGGCCCAGATTGGTGATGTCACTTGTGAGGTCACACAGCTGGCTAGGGCCAAAGCTGGGACTGAGGCAGGCCAGTCCCTCTGACTCTGAGCCTGCAAGCTGTCCTATTGGCCACATGTCCCGTGGCTTCTCTGTTCTCTGCCTGCTTGGCCTCATCTGTCACTCATTTACTTACTCATTCAATTTCACTCATTCACTCACCAATACTTTTTCTTTCTTTCTTTCTTCTTTTTCTTTCTCTCTCTCTCTCTCTTTCTTCCTTTCTTTCTTTGTTTCTTTTTGAGATAGAGTCTTGCTCTGTTGCCCGGGTGGAGTGCAGTGGCATAATCTTGGCTCACTGCAACCTCCACCTCCCAGGCTTAAGGGATCCCCTCACCTCAGCCTCCCAAGTAGCTGGTACTATAGACATGTGCCACCACGCTGGCCAATTTTTCTATTTTTCATAGAAATGAAGTTTCACTGTTGCACAGGCTGGCCTTGCGTTCGTGAGATCAAGCAATCCACCCACCTTGGCCTCCCAAAGAGCTGGGATTACAGGCATTGGCCACCATGCCCAGCCTTTACCAACACCTCTTGATGCTGAAATGTGCCGAGCCCCATGGAAGGACCAATGAGAAAAGCAAAGATGACCTTGGTGGCCTGGTCCCCACAGCTCACTAGGCCTCTCCCGAGCTTCACCCAGGGCCTTGTTCCAAAGATCGATTGCTGAGAGGTGGGCTGGGAGTGAAGCAGTTTGCCAGGGCCCACGGCTGGTACAAGGATTCAGCTCCAAAGCTCAGCCGAAAGCC